AAATTACTTTCTTATTTTCAATCAAGGTCATTTCTTAGTTTCTTTAACTTCAATTTGAGCAATTTGACCATTCTGTTTCTCTTTTAACTTCTTGTTTCTCTCTTCTAGTTGCTTAATTTTTTCTTCTAAACCCTTTATCTTATCCAATAATCCCTACTTTTGTCTTTTGTTTCACTCCTCTGACTTTTCTTGAAATTTGGCTACTTCTTCAGCCTCATTCAATTATTATTGTAGGGAGTTTATTTGTCTTTCATAAAAAACAGACTGATTTATTTCTTCATTAGGTAAGAGGGTGAGTTCTTTCTCTTCTAAATCTTCATGGTTTCTAATGCAGTAGCAAACATTCTTACCATTAACAAATCAAAATCTAACTTAGTTTGCAATCTACCACATCTATTACATTTTAATAGTTCACCATTCCAATACTTTTCTTCGCACCTTTTACAAATCATGTCATCTGAAATTCATTCTCCAGTTACTTTACTACAGGTTCTTATTTGATGAACAGATTGAACAGAATTGTTATTTTCAAATTTAGAGCTAAAATCACAGTTTTTTTATTTTATTTTTTAATTCAAAACTATGAATTCCAGTTCTCTCATTACAATTCACTCATTATTTAGACTTAACTTCTACTCAAGCAATCATTTCTTGGTTGTGCAAATTTTCTTTTTTGATTAGCATTTGTAATTGCTGAATCTTAACTTTTGCTTTCGTTTTTAATTGCTTAAACATGTTCTGTTTAGTTGAAGACAACTTGTTTTCTTCTATAGGTAAATCAGGTAAAGGTTGATTGTTTGAGTGAACCCTTTCACCATCAGTTAATTGCTTGTTCTTTTGACTTGATTCTCTAACTTTTCAATTTGAGCTTCTAAATGAGCAATCTTTTCACCAGTACTTTCAAATTTCTTTTATATCTTCTGCTTGATTTTTACTTAATTTTTCACCAACTATTAAGATTTTCTTAATTTCTTCACATTCCATCTTCACTTCACCTTCCAACTCTTTTATCCTTGCTTCTAGTTCCCCTTGTTTTGTCTCTAATTCTGCTATTTTCTTTTAATACTCTGTTTTTTGACTATATTTTCTGAAATACATTTAACACATTTTGAACCTAATTCTTTTGATCAATCATAAAATTTCCTCAATAGTAAAGTTGTCAAATCAAACTCTGTCCAAGTTTCTCAAAATTTGGCAAGGATGATTAGAATCTTTAGCTATTATTTTACCTTCATCTAATCATTTTTTGTTTAATTTCCTATATCACCAGTAGCCAGCAGGAGCATCCTTACTTATCATTACTTCCCTCAGGTTGACCAATCATGTGATCTTTCGTTTTGTATTTTTTATTAATATTTTACATTTTTATTATTTATAAAAATAATGCCATTTTTTGACCTAATTCGTTTTGTAATAATAAAACAAATCAATTCTTTTTTTTTGTTCAATAAAACACTTTTGTGGTCGGAAATTAAACAGTAGAGTTTAATTGACCGCTCAATCTAGGTTTCGCCAACTTCGCCGCAAAATTAGGCCTAAACTATGTTGGTTCCGGCCATCATCCACTAGCCTTGTGTTCTTTAATTATGTATTACGTTACGAATTGCCTTGATTTACGTCTCGCGTCACGAATTGCGTCCTACATCTCTTGCATCATGAATTGTGTTTTGCGTCACGCATGACACCAATGCAGCTTTTAAACCACTATAACTGTTTCGCCTTTTATATTTAATTAATTATTATTAACTAAATTTATGTAAATCGCAAATTTTTCTTATTAACCCAAAGTCAACCCGAACTCGACCGAAATTTTCGGGTCTGGTTCAGTTTGACACTTAACCCGCCCGAACCTGACCCGTTAGGAGCTTTAATTTTAATTGTTGTAAAAATATAAGTTATCTTTATTATCTTTGAAAAATGTTTGTTATATAGTAGGATAAGTTAGTACTATTTGTTATCAATAGATAATCATTCATGAATTGTTACAAATGTTTGAAATGGTTATATTCAAAATAAATACAAGCATCCAAAATAATTACAAGTATCCAAAATAATTATAAGTATCCAAAATAGTTATGAAATAAATATTATATATTAAATTGATTTTCGAATATTTGTAAAAAAATTTGATTTTCAGTAGGAACACTATCCCAAGATAGCTTTATTGAAAACCTTTTCCACCTTCATAACACTGTGCTTTATTTAATCAAGCTGGACTAGACTTTTTTATCATTTCAACTACATGGCCCAGACAATCTACTCTTGTTCTTCTATAGAGTTTTTTAATCATGCCAAAATTTCACATTTAAATTTAAATTTGGTATGTCATGGAATCATGAAATTCAATTCAATACTTTCATAGTAACCACAAATTACCAAATATAAATAAAATCAAAGTGATGTTATTTTTATTCTTCACAAGTAATCTTTAAATGCTTTCCACCTTTATTCAATTTTTTCATTCTATCAAAGATCAAACTAAGAGTGCCATTAATATCTTCTTCCTATAATTTCATCCCCATTAAGAACATAATTAATTTGTCCTCTTACTGCTTCATCTTGAATATCAAACAACTGAACTTTACATGGACTAAAGTAATAGATTTTACTTGTTGATCTGAATGTGGTACATGAACATTTTGGACTCAATCATAACTATAATGTGCAATGCATCAATGCTGCAATATTGTGTTTTACCCTTTGAATAATTTTGATTAACTGATTTTTCTTTGTTGTTCTGCTAATTTGGTATTTTTATTATAATAATTTCTTTCTAATTTGGCCTTGGATAGATGTTCTTCCTCTTGGCGAGCATTATAATGTAAACCATCTCTAAAATGTTTGACAAGTATCAGTCCTTGGACTCATAATTTGAATTTCTGATGTCAATTGATGTCATAATTTTCTGAAAGCATCATATTTTAAGGATTTCAATTTTCTATCTTCTCCTAGATCAGCCAGAAAATCTCTGCGCACAGATTTGTAACTCATTTCACTCTACAAAAAGTTTAGATACTTGTTTCCTACCTATTTCCTACTTATTTTTTATAAAAAATAAGTCAAAACATACTTAAATCAAAAAAGATGATTCACTAATTATTTACAAATATGTATGAATATATTTATTTTACAATTAAAATATTCTTGTTTTTTACAGTAATAGGAATGTAGATATCCTAATCATGCACTTAAAATATACCACTGAATTTAATAATTCTTAAAACATACTTATTTTCTTGATTTTGTAATTTACTTTATATATCCTTAAGACATACTTGAATTTGAAATACAAATAATAAAATTATTCTTTTCACATCCAAAGAATTGGCCAATCCAATTTCACTTCTGGCTGATAAATGAATGTAGATGACTAAATAACCAATGGTTTATTTGATTAATTACACAACAAGGGTATTAGCAACAAGGTGACGAAGACCAGGGTGCAAAATCTTATTATAAAATTCCGGCATTCTGATAAAATTTAGAATGCCCAATAAAAAGTTTGGAAATAGGCCATTTTCCAATTACACGTTTTTAATATTAATATTATTAATATTAATACAAAATATTTATTTGAATTATTTGTTTTATTCGTTTTGTTTGAATTATTCGAATTATTCGTTTTGTTGAATTAGTTGAATTATTCATTTTTTATTTGTTTTATTTGTATTATCCGTTTATTCATTTTATTCGAATTATTCGTTTTATTCGTTTCATTCATTTATTATTATTGGAATTATTCGAATTATTCGTTTTACTCGTTTTATTCGAATTATTTGAATTATTCGTTTTATTTGAATTATTCGTTTCATTCGCATTTTATTCGTTTATAAAATATTAATTAATTCACAGCTTGATGCAACAAATTCTATATTAATATTAATATGATTGTTAAGGGATTTTAACTATTTGTAAAATCATAAATAAGGTTAATTTCCTTTAACAAGATAATATAATAATTATATTTATAATACTACTATGGTTACTAGCACTGTGACTTAAGAAAATGTCAATTATTACTATTTATTACTATCATCACTACAAAGACTACAAAGGAAATTATTTATTATTACAGTGAACCCTCCATAAGTGCACCCCCTTGGGAATGGATGCATTTATAGAGGGGAAGAATTTTATTGGTTGCACGTGATACTAATAAAAATAATTACAAATTATTAAATATTATTGTTGACTAAAAAATTGTTTCATTGTGGTTTGCTTCATTGAATTTTTTTTTCAAATTAATGTATCACTCAAGGACATTAACTTGTCCTAATTGTTCTTTAGAATTTTCTTATTTTATTTTTGGTTACTTTTATTAAACATAAATTTTATCCTTGTTTAATCCTTAATTTTTTAATATAATTTTCTCCATTTGTGTTTTTATCATTATTATTCTAATAACTCTGTCAATTAAAAAGAAAGAATTAACAACCATTCATTTAATCCTTTATAAGCAACAGTAGCTTACTTAATCCTTTATTTTCCATTACTAATATTAAAAAAGATGTAACAAAGATAGATATAAATAACGTTTGAATTTATTTAGCAAATAAATCACGTGAAAATCACGGGCGTGCATTTAGAGAGGGTGGTTTTATATGAACGGGGATGGAGGAAGACCGTGCAGTGCAGAATATAGAGGGTGTGCATTTATCTCTAATTCCCGAGGTTGGGAAGGAGACATAGCGTGCATTTATGGAGAGATACATTTATAGAGGGTGCACTTATGGAGGGTCCACTATATTTAATGTTATATTAATATTTACCTCACTTTTATAAGGCCTCTTTGAAAATAATATTGGTTGTAGTAAGGGCCACCAGCACCAAAGATATTATTTTTAATCATATCCCAGCCAGAAAAGTTAGGATTAATGTCATTAGTAACAGAAAGCATGGCATGTGTTGAAAAGACTGGACCAAAATATGCTGCAAAGTTTTTCTTTGAAATAAGTAAAAGGTCTTCAAATGGCTGTGTAGTAAAAAGAATTGTTGCAATGTGATAGTCAACAAAAAGTTCATCTGAATTATAAAGATTTTTGTTTATTTCCTTATGGAAATCTTTAATCGTACATTGTTATGCATTAATTGATAGTTTGTTTTGAAATGCTTCTAAGAGGCATTTGTTGCAGCCATGGATGTCTCTAACAACAAATGAATTATAATTAAATGATCTCCTTTCATCCAATCAATGCATTTACGATTTTTGTCTACCAAGTTTTCACATGGAAATTGACCATGGACTCGTGTTATAGAAAGTTCCTTCGGCTTTACAACAATTTTTAAAGTTTTCTGTGCTTCATATGCACCATGATGTAAATTTCCCAAAGTTATTGTTTGGTGCGAAATGTTATATACAGTCAAACCTCGATAAACCGAACTACTATAACCCGATTCTCGCTTTATAACGACGCAAATTGGTTAACCGAATCATATTTAATAAAAATTATTTCGTTAAGCCGAATTTTATTATAATTTCCACTTTGCTTGATAAACCGAACTTAACTGTTTGTACAAAATAATAAAAAATGTAACTTTCTAAGCCGAATATGATCGTAAACTGGTTTTAAAATTCGTCTTATAATGATAAAATTCGTCTTAAAAATAATGTCAATAAAAGGCACGAAAATTAGAATTTTTGAATAATATTGAAGTTGATAGATAATGTTGAAATTGAAGTTGAAGTTGATACTGAGCGAGAAAATCGTGAAGTTCAAGATTTAGTTAACTAATTCCCATTTGATGATTCATTTTAACGGACGAGTATTTAAATATTGAGAATAATATGGTTGCAGGTGAATTAGTAATGGAGGGTGAGTATATTATTGCGTTAATTCAACCAACAGGAATAGATTAGCAACCTTTATTCCAGAAATTTCTATTACAGATAGATGGAATTTTTTAGTATACCCTCCAAGTAATTTCGATGTATGCGAAGATGAACTAAAGTGCATTCGTACTCTTAGAAAAAAATTATTAAGTCATAAGATTAATAATAGTTCAGCACAACAATCTTTAGATAAATATTTTTTTTTAGAATAATTTGTATTTTATAACAAATTTATTTTGAACAAATAATAAAAATCGTTTTTGTATCATAAACCGAATTTTGATAAGCCGATCCTATTTTTGTGATTCCAAAAGTTCGGTTTATCGAGGTTTGACTGTAGTATGCTACAAACTTCTTCCATTCATTACAACTAATGTTCCAATATTTTTAAAACATCATTATAAAGACAGAGAAAAAGGATTGGCATCCTGATATAAAAGTCACAGTGTCATGAGGATTGCTTCCGAGAATAACATGTGAGTCACGTTCTAGATTTTCAACAGTAGAATATGGATCGTTTGGGGCTAGTAATTTGTGTCTGCTGACAGCAATTCCACCAATGCAATGACACAGAAGCTCTCGGGCTAAATCCATGTTTTGCCGGACAGCGTTACATATATTGTAGATTGGATTAAGTTTCTCTTTGATTTTAGAACAAATGACTGATTATCAAAACGGGAGGCATTCATTTTACCGAAAACTCGAGGTTTTACATTTAACCTTCACATAATCAAACAACTAATAAAATGCTAAAATGGCACGCCGCATGTTGTCGGTAAAATGAACTATCGGTAAGTAATACGTACCCATCAAAACTTGTAAAAAAAATCATACATGTTGTTATCGAGTTCTTTGAAACATATTTCTAAAAGATGCTGTAATGCACAAGACAACCCTCCTGTGTCTTCCAAAAGATAAAGAAATGGTCTACATAGCTTCCATTTATATTCACCACATTCAAATTTTTCTACATTACATGACTTTGCAAAATCTTAATCATAGATGTCATTGATAATAATGGACATTCAACAAAATGAAATGAAACTCTAGATGGCTCCATGGTTGAAATGACAACTTGTGAAGCTGTTCCCGAAAGGAATGTTTGAACAAATGCTTCTAGTCTATTCGTCATAAATGTTGCAGGTCCATTGATCATGTCTTTAAAAGCTGTCATATCTTTTTTCTCCAATTTATCAATCATTTGAAATTCATCGATATGCAGGAAAACTAAAAATCCCTGATTCGAAATGTTCAGCAATGCTCTGAAACACAGTACCAATGTTGAAGCGTTTGATGTACGGCATGATCTTTGACCGGAATTCAATAAATGACATTTTATATTTTTCATGGATGAAGAATACATAAGCAATTCGTATGACAAAAATCACTAATGAAGAACCATAATCAATACCATCAAGTGGACACACATTCCCAAAATCCATGCAAATATATCGAAAACGAGGTTGAAGATGTTTTGTTGACAAAGTAGGTGGAACCTAGTTATCTTTGAGTTGAAAGAAAAGTTCTTGGCCAAATCGTGTTTACCATAGAGAAACAAAAATTTGAATATAAAATTGGACTTTTTATGAGTGTTAAAGAAGTTAAAGATAATCTATCCCTAGAGCTCCTCCCTCCACTAACAAGATATTAAAATCTTTCTTTTATTTTTTACCCAAAAAGTTATTTTCTAAACACTTTAATTGCCTTGGTAAAATCACGGTGCAACAATGACATCTCAAAATCATATTCTGAAGTGGAAGCATGACCAACATTTTCTAAAACAACCTCGTCTTAATATCTTTAACTGGAATTAAAAGAAATAAACGTTAGAGATTAGGAATGCATGCAGACACAATATGAATTATAATATACTTGTTTTAAATGAGTTTTTATCCGTTGTGAAAGTAAAAAGTAGTAACAGAACAAATTAGTGAAAGTTAAAACAGTATACCAAATAAATCTTTTTTTTTTTTTACGCAATTTGTTCATCCGGCAAGTTTATTTTGTAAATTTATCACCTGCCCACGCCAATCCTTCTCCTCCTCCTCCAACCTCTCTTTTTCTTTCTAAGCCTTCCGTTCCTCACAACTCCTTATAATTTTTCAAGTCCCCTCCTCCATAAATTTCTTCGGTCTTTCTATGCTCCTCCTTTGCGTCCTTTAACTCTTGTTCAATTTTTTTCGATATTTGTTAAAAAAAAAAAAAATTGTAAATTCTAGCTAGCCAAAAAAGCTATCAAATATCGTCTTAATTTTTTTCAGGATAAGCACTCAATATTATGATGATGATAATAATATTATTATGTAACGATTTAATAATGAAGCGTCATTGATTTGTCATGATCAACAATCAAGGGAAAAAAAAAAAATAATTAGCAGTAATGGGGCCATGATATCAAAGATCGTCGGCATCTGCACCGCAGAAATATGAAAATTTAGCATGCCTATGACATAAAGATTATGTATTTTTATTTTTGATTCCCAGTGCTAAAAAAATAAATTAGCAGTAATGGGTCATGGTTTCAAAGATCGACGATTTTAGTGGTATTTGCACCACAAAAACGTGAAAATTTAGCATACCTATTACATAAAAATTATGTATTTTTATTTTGATTGCCCAGTGCTAAAAAAAATAAATTAGCAGTAATGGGTCATGGCCTCAAAGATTGACGATTTTATGACATAAAGATTATGTATTTTTATTTTTTGATTGCTAACTAATAGAATGATATCATTAATGATAATTATTGTTGTAAATATAAATAAAACCGTATCTCTCGAGAGCAAATTCTTTATTTTTTTTTTTTTCAAAAAAAAAAACAATTGCTTTTAAACAACAAACAACAACAATAATAACTAAAAATGGCACCAATTCAAAAAACCGGCGAAGCCGCAAAACCTGTTGTTAGTAAAGAAGATTTAAAGACTGGTCAAAAAGTTGTATATCATCCTGTTGGTGGGAGTATGCAACTTACCGAAGGAATTATCAAAGGAATTGTTACTGAACCATCGGTATGTACATCATTCATTCGATTTGATTTTTTTAAACGAATTTTGTGCATTGTTATAATTTTATAATAAATATTCGTTAGACTGTTGGGAATACTCAAAGGAAAGTTAAAGCAAGTAACGAAGAACCACGTATAGTCATTGAAAATCTACATACTCATAAGGTTAATAATATAAATTTTATCGAATAATAATTAGCGATATAAATATGAAAGTTTTATTTATAAATATTATTTTTGATTTATGTAGGAAACCGGTAAATTTCAAAATAATCATATAATCACAATCACAATCACAATCATAATTATTCATTTCAACACTACTAAATAAAATTTGAATTATTCATTTTACACATGTTTATTCAGCTTATAAACCTGAAAATATTGAAAAGATCGTGGATGACGAGGAAGGTGGTAAAATTCGAGGAAAATAGTAATCATCAAATAATAATAAACATTACTACTTTTTGTGATATATTAGATGATGGATTATCTTTTATTATCAAAATGTAATAATACAAAAAAACGAAAATCTAAAATATATAATTAATAAAAAAAATTATCTAAAAAATATGTCATTGTTCATTGAAAATATATAAAAAAATATTATTTTCTAAATAATCTTTTGACAACATTAAATCCCATCTTATTACTATCAGATTTCGTTTCACGATCATCGATCAGAAGTTCTTTATTCAGTGTCTGTTGATCTTGATCTTCTAATGTTTTGTTATCAGAAATATTTCCAAAATCCTCATCAAAACTTGATGATGCTGTTGTATCATTTCTACGTTTGAGACTATTTGTGGCATTATATGCACGACCAATTATATTGATTGTTAGATTGAGACATGATGATATTAATGTTAATAATGGAACAATATCATATGAGACAGTTTTTTGTTGATATAAAACCTATTTTTGAAAATTTTAAAAATAATATATTTTTAAATAAATAAAATTAAATAAATATAACTAATCAATCAACCAACCACATAATATATATAAATATTTTATAAAAATACCTGAACTATAACTTGCGGCAAATCCTCTAAAAAAATATTAGCACATGCTCCCCAAAATATTTTTGTTATTGCATCTTCGGAGAATGGTGCCTTGAAAGCAGCAAATCCTGCCAAGTTTGATTGAAGGATTGTCAGTGCATCAATATCTGCTCCTGCCAATACTGTGAAAATGGATGCTACTTTTCCATGCGCCGAAAACCATTTATAAAAAACTTCTCTTGAATTTTCATTCGTTATAATGGTAAATGCCAATATAGTATTTACGGCAATTGGTACTGTTATAAATACCACACTATAGAAAAAAAATTTTTAATTATTTTAAAAAACCAAATAAATAATAAGAAATTCAATTTTTTTTATATTCTATTAAAAAAAAAACCCACCATGGAATATAAAGTACTTCGACCTGTTTGCCATTATTAATAAGAAATACAACGTCCATAACCATATCAGAAATAATAAGCCCAAGTTGTAATATTACTATATTTCTTCCCTAAATATCATAAAAAAAAACTTTAGTTTAAAATTTTCTCTTTTAAAAGTTGATTGATTGATTGATTGATTGATTGATTTACCTTGCTTTCTCTTCTTTGTGCTATTAAAAAAAGTGTGACTAAAACAGCGAGCCCCAAAAATAATCCCAAAAATTTTAATTTATTTCTTTCCCATAAATTTTCTAAAAATGATATAAATATAAATTTAAATAATTTTATAATGTTTTCCTTTACAATATATAAAAGAAGATAGATATTTACGTGTTGCCTGAAGTCCATAATCAGAATCTAAATATTTTGTGACGGAACCGGATGAAATAGGTGTTGCATCGCTCTCACTAATCATTACATTTAAATCTCCAATAACGCCCTCAACACTTCTAGATGATTTGTCTTTGGTTTGTTCAATATCAACAGATATTAAGAACTGTCTTTTCGGTGAAACTGAAGGATCAACTTGAGTACGGCCATTTGAGCTCAAACGACTTTTGTCAATTGGAACGATGCTAGCAAGTTCTTCAACTAATGTATTAAAGAATTGCTTTTGACCATCACTATCAAGAGATTCGAAAACTGCTGTACCCTCGCTCGTCAATCGTAGTAATCCAGTGGCTGAATCTATATTATTTTTTTTTTTAATTTATTTTTAATTAAGAAATTTCACATTATATTATTATATTTTATACATATATACATGTGGATATTATTTACCTGCAATCTTTTCATCTTGTGATCCTATAATAATTTTTTATTTATTAATAAAAAATAAAATTCAAGATAAAAAATAAAATAATAGACAAAATCAAAGATCACCTGTTGAAATTTTCCAGATGTTTTCTTGGATACCCAAGAGTGGTTCTTGAGTTTTTTTATCTCGAACAAAATTATTATCCACCTTGATATAATAATTGCTACTTTGTTGAGAAAAAGTACTTGATATTATATTGAAAGTTACCGATAAAGAATTACTAGTTATATTACAATATTTCGTATTAGTGCCAAAAACTTTCTGACGAAGAACGTTGTTGCCACCATCTTGAACTAGATATACTGATATAGCGCCTTCAGATAATTCAACTTCATCACTATAAGTAATGCTAACTTGGTTCAAATTATCCGTTGATCGATCTGAAGTAGGTGTTATCACTGTACCTATCGGTGGAACTGTAGATTGAACATGTAGATTGGAATACCCATTATCTATAACAACAACAACAACAACAACAATAATAATAATAATAATAATAATTAAAAAAACCATTTTAATAAATCAAAAATATAATAAATAATTGTAAAGATTAAAGAATTTATTAAAAAATACCGGGTAAAGCCGAAAATTTAGGCATTTCAGAAACAAGCAATGACCAAGTACCAGGCAATTCTGGTTGAGTAAGAACTACAGTATTATTTGCAAGAAGAGTACTACGACCGAAAGCATTCACTTGGATGGCTTGACCAAAATCCCATGGCGAACTGGCCTTTTTAACATCATCATAAAGATATCCAAAGGCATAAGTACCAGTAACATTTACCGTACGTGTATCTATCAGAAACCCACCGTACGGTAAGGATCGGATATTCCATGAAACTGTATTTACATCGTCGGCTGGTATAACACGATCTATTGGGTCGAGCCCAGAAACTGAACCCGATGAAAGAAAAGAAACTCTGATATAATACAATTTGGAAGTGGGAGCTTGTGGTGGAGTAGTAGTGCTAGCTATGGTTTGGTTTAAGGTCAAAATACAACTATGACCAACTTCAATATAATCGATGTCACATTTCATATTACTAAATATTATATTATCCAATGGTATTTGATAAAGAAATTTAGGTGTGCTGACATCAGTGGTATTGTATCCTATATTGAAAATAAACATTTGACCACGAATTTTTAAAGGATCAGGATTGTTGTCAGGTTGAGTAGTGTTTGCTAATATGATTGCATAATCTTCTCCAACTGTTGGTATCGATTTAAAGATAGCACCTGATATGTCAGATGCGATTGGAGTTTTTCCTTCAGTCAATTCAACAATTTCATTAGTAACACTATCCCTAATTGTAATAGAAAAATTTCAAAAATTAATAATAATAATTACACATGTATAAATATGTAATATTTAATAAAATAAATAACAGCAGTTACATTGTGAATTGTTTAAAAGATATACCAAGAGTATTTCTTATAAAACCAGTCCATAACCACCCTTTATTTTCATTGATATTTGGTGTTACACTACCAATCCGTGACGGGTTCCAAACTCCGTTATAAATATACGAGTCACCAAATTTGCGTTTACTAAATAAAATATCAATCATATTTATAATATTTGATTAAGTGATGATGAAGTGGGATTTTCAACATTTTCAATTAAAAATTTTTTACCTAATAATATTTCCATTCAAGTCAATTACCATTCCCCATTCTTCATAAGTTGTAACATCAGTTGCATTAGTGGTATTTATGTAAGTTACCAATATACGAGTACGGCTAATACTAAATAATTTTATAGGACTGATAACTCCTATTGGTAACTGATAAAGGGCATAATTCATAGAGGGAATTTGTAGATCAAGGTCAATTGCATTTACTGTTCCATTTTGAAAAAGCACTCTTAATGATAATTTCTCTTCCACATATGCTTTTGTTGGATCAGGTGCCGCCGTTGGATCTTTATATACTATTCTTATAACAAGTGTTGAGTCATCTCTATAATTAATCAAGTCAAATATACGAGGAGTTGATTTCTTTGGTATTATCTCATTATAAGTAAATATGCGTGGTGCGGATTCAACCGAGATTAATATAAACAAAAGTATTGGTAAAATTAATTTAAATATTAGATTTATTTTCATTTCTTAAACTATAATACTTTTTTTTTTTTTTTTTTTTTGATGAAAATGTAAAATATTTTTTATAAATTATTTATTTTATTAAGAAGGTAAAAGAAGAAACATGATAGGAAAAGTAATATATTTATATGCGGAAAAAAAATTTTTCATTATTTATAGCAGCAAACTATTTTAAAAAAAAAATAGTTGATTTTGGTAGAAGGCTTTTGTGTTTGTAGTGCAAATATCGAATATATTGGAAAGGGGAAAGCAGCAAGCAGGATTTTTTATTAAAATAGATTAATTTTTATTGTATTATTGTTATCGTGCGTGTTTGGAAAAGAAAATCGCAAATCTAATACTAAAATGCAATTTATGCAATTAATAAATTAAAAAATTCATCACTGCTGTAGGATGTGATTTTTAATATTTTTCTAACCTAAAAAAATCATTATCAACCAACCTCCTCCTCCTTCATTGGAACTTATAATGATGATAACTAAACCAAGTACAAGGCGTCTCTGGTTTAACAAAATTCGTTGCAAGAGACATTTCAAAAGGATATATCATGGGTGCTGTTTGCATTTCAATCAATGGTGGAATCGCATGTATAAAGGTATCCAAGGGGTCCAGGTCCCTAGCACAGACGACCACATTATACCAAGGATACTCGCGGAATTTATGGGGCAACACTGTAATGTCATCATCATCAAGTCAAAATTTATCTTGTGTTTTAAAATAACATGGTGGGTGATGTTTATATAATCATAATGCGACGAGCTTATATCTTTTACTTTACCGTGAATGGAATCCACCGAAAATTTAAGGCCTTGGTTATCAGTCTTATCCTTAAAGATGACTCATGGTGAGACACAACGGTCATATTGTATTTTTTCTTACTCGATTTAACGGCTTCGAGGAATGAATAGCCAGTCGTTTCTTATTCTTTCCCAATCTTTTGATCTGATGAATTGACTGTGATTTGTCTTTTTTATAATTCTTCAAAAATAGTGTTTCCATTCATTAATCCAAAGACTTTTGGTAGTGGATGAAATTTCATAATAAATGTATTGTATAGAAAGATATTGTAGATATTGTAAATATTTAATACATTCTCACCTTTACCTTACAGATTCTATAATCAAGAAGCTATTTTTTGGTCTTCTATTTATATTTTTTTATTTGATAAAATGTATGAGTTTCCCAGAGTTGGAACTACGTGTAAATCATCATAAAGAGTATTATCATCATCATCAATTTAAAATTATTTCGTTACATCAAAAAAAAAAAAAAAACCAGTTATTTATATGGCATTTAGAAATGAAGAACTCTATTATTAAACTATTTTTCCATATATACAATTTTTGCAGACAAGTGATTTAATTATATTTATTATAATAATTTTACTTATTCAATATATAATATATATAATAATATATAGTGTTTTTTGAAAACTTTAATTTTTTCTGAAAATCATCTCAAAATAGAAGCAACACATTAAAAGCAGTAGCAATGGCATGAAGATGAAATGGTAACAAGAATATAAGAAATAAATATTATTATTCTTTTATCTTACTATACATTTTTACAACCAATAAAATCGAACCTGAATAAGGTTCATTATTGGTCTAAAAAGTTCATGATGAAAAATTATAAATAGAAAATATCTTAAAAGTATGGTATGTAAAAGGGGGATCATGTTACAAGTTAAATTAACCACCTTCTATGGTTAGCTTTTTCGTAATAAATAATAATAAATTTTTTTACATCATAATCCAGGTAAGGTTACCATATACAACTTCTCTGTATGCATAAAAATGGTTCTACATGAACTCATTATTTATTATGGTCCTTTCAACCAATCAATTTTACAATTTTAAAATCAATTTTTAGACTTGTAAGTTTTTATATAAAAGCTATAATATACATACAATTTTTGTGGTGGTTGATGATTCATAACTCATTATTGTGTTATAAACATCAATGATCATTCCTAAAATATATTTTGTCTAAATGAAAGAAAGAAAAAAATAATTTATATACAAGAATTTTATGACATCCATCATACAAATTTATCACAGTCTATAAGTGCTCCCTGTGCCCAAATTCCAAGCTCGGGGACTTTGAGATAAAATGCGTGCCCTTCTATGTTCTGCAGGTTTTTTCCCCCATATAACCCTCTAGATGTACCCTGTGTTACATGCATGTTAAATTAAATAATTAATTTGACAAATCCCTATTTTTATCAAACGAATAAAGAATTCATTGAAAATTTCTTTTTTAATAAATGTAAAGATTATCAGAATAAGAGAATAGGAGAGTAAGAAACACAAGCGATGAAGCTCTTATTTTTAAGGTAAAGGAAAAGACGCAACAGATAAAATTGGGAATTTTATAACTTAATACTCTTGTAATAGGCCTTAACCTTAATTAAAAATTAAAGTTATATTTATGTTCACTGTAATTGTTCTTCAAATAAAACTGTGTATTTCCAAAAACTTATTTTGCTGAAAATAATAAATTAACCAAAAAAGGATATGTTAGATGGATTGACCAAAAGTTCATAACCGGAATTCTACACAAACTTGTGGCTAGCCTTAAAATTTATCGAGTATTATTTTTTATTGGCATCACGTGCATAGATGTTAGCCGAAATTGTTTTTGGCAATATTTTGGTGACATTATTATTATTATTATTATTATATTAATATGGATATGAACTATTTTTGGTCAAATAATTTCGGATATAATCATTCATTCATTTATTTATAGATCACGTACAACCAATAAAATACACGAGATAATTTTAGAAATATTTGACCGACGTACGATTGATTATAATGAAAAGCATCAACTACTCAAAGCTTTGAGTAGTGAGTTCATAGAATTTTTCAAATATATACATATATACAAATCTTTACTTTCATCTAAATTTTCTGCAGCTACAAGTTAAAGGTGTCATCTATTTCAACAATAAATTAACATTTTTTGAATAGTTTGAAACAACTGGAATATAAGTTAGTATATATTAAGAACTGTATCAAATTTATTTTTTTTATTGAGAATGCTCGTCGCTCTTTAATAGATACTTATCTCCTGGAAGCAGCTGATTTCGACTTTGATGAATTGAAAGTTAAAGAAAATTTCTATCTATTCTGAATACCACATTAGACCAATTCATATAAACGATAGATTGAAGTTAACTGGTTCAATTGATCACATAATAGCTTGTAGATAGGAACAAAGACGTGTGGTATGAGAATTAAAAGGATATTGTGTATATTTTAATATTTTAAGTACTTTTGTTAAAATTAAAAATTTTTTATTTGTAATGGGATTTAAGAGAAGAAAGGTTTTCTGCTGGTAAAAGAGAAAAAAAAACCAGATATATTTCATGCTTTCATTCATTAGAAGTAGAAGTACATGGTTCATTGATGATTTGCTTATTACACGGTTTCAGTTAATGGTTGTTTGATAGATGGTCTTCGCTGGGAATTATATTGTGTTGATAAAGATGCAAGACATACAATCATGAAAATGATCCTCATTTAATACTAGGTACATTATTATTATATTTGTTGTGAATAAAATTTTGGGGCGGGTGTGAAATTCTGATTGGCTAATTCGAATTCCACATGTGTGAATTGCAAATTCACATAAATCTTATTTTCACGCACACAACATTCTTTAATTTTATATATAGGTCAATAATAAAAATTCCTGTTTGTTATATTATTCTGACCCAGACCAAAATTAAGTTTAATATATAACTTGACTCTAAGGTTTGCAATAACATTAGTAAAAAGAACATAATTTGACCCATAATATATATATATACCACTAACATTAAAAATTTTGAAACTTGTAAACAAAATTAATTGACGATCCGAGTGAACTCTAAATAGAGATCAGCGAGGAAAATTTATCTATACATTTTTTTTTAAGAATATATAAAAAAAAAAAAGGGATTTACTCTTGGGGATGTATAGATATATAAAAAAAGTTTTAACGTTTGTGTAGTTTATTAAATAACAAAAACGAGTGTATAATGAATAATCATTTTTAATTTTAGTATTCAGGTTACATCAAATGATTAACCTTTTTTATTCAAATCATACTCTTAAACTGTTTTTAAACTCCTTCGAAATCATTTCAAAACTCCAAAATTTTTTAAAAAAAAACAAAATAACGCCATAAATGCTTCATGTGGGAAAAAGGTATATATATATATAATTAAATCTTTTTCACGTAATAGGGATGTGGAGGATATTTTTGCAGATCATTCTATAATAATAAGATATTTCCTCTGGTAAAAGAATTCGACATTTCACTCATAGACGGATCGCCAATTAAATTTTATCAATCAATCGTAATGTTTTTGAATGAAAAAACTTCCTAATAGATCGTTTAGGATCTGGTTTATTTTTGTCAAACCGATTCGAATTTGGATTCTAAACAGACAAACCGGATTGCAACCAGGTTGAAACCAGATTCAAAACGGGTTTGGAATTTTTGGATGATTTTATTTAGTTATCGGGGTCTAAATTGGTAAAGTCAAAATAGTATCATCTATGTCTAAATTAATACAAAAGATATAGAAGTTTGCCTAAACTAAAATGTAATAATGCCGAAACTCAGAAAAAAAAAGGTTATAGAAACTAATAATCCGAAATTTAGTAGTCACTTTACCAAAACTCAATCACTATGCCGAAACTAAAAAATGGTTGCTGAAACTCAATTTTTGTCAAAATTCAACCATAATGCTGAAACTACAAACAAATGCTAAAATTCAATTAATATACTATTTATATGGAATTTTTAATGGTCAATAATATTTTATTTTTTGCAAAATATTTATACTATGATTTTAAAAATATGTTCTTAATTATTTACATGAATTAAAATTACTATTGTTTTGCAAAAGATTTGAAGATTATTGATGAATATCATTTGACAATTCTGGTGTAATTGATGAAAGTATTTGATATTTCTTGATCAGATACCAAAGTAATAAATTTTTACTATAAAAATATCCCACACACAAGTGATATATATATATATCACATGGTAATAAAAAAATTCAATTATTTTTCGTGGAAAGGTTATTTAATAGGCGTGTAATTATTCAAATTAAATCATTTTGATCATTATTATTAGATTGTTAATGTTAATATATTAATATATAACAAAAATAAATAAATATTACTTTACGAATCATTAGTTACACAAAAGGTTTACACATTTTATAGTTTCGGTACATAAATTTAGTTTCGCACGTAGATTTAGTTTCGGCAAAAATAATTATGCCTAAAATTATGGCATTTTGCTTGCTTGAAAAGCGAAACTAAATTTTTTAATTTGCCGAAACTATTGCCGAAATCTAGTAGTTTAGGCAAAACTTCTATAACAAAAGATAATGATTTGGTTTTTTGGATCCTTTTTTCAAACCTTATATCTTATTGTGTCTCGACGTTAAACACGTTATACATGATGTGTAAACTGGTCAATAGAATGATAATTAACCCCAAAAAATTTATTTGCTCCGCCAAAAAAAACCTTCGATAGCCCGTCAAACCAATGGCTTCACCTCAAAACCAATGGGCTTTTGCTAGTATAAAGTATTCATAACGTTATGATTATACCGTGCTGGATTTTGGGGTTCAAATAAAATCAGCGCATATGTAAAAAAAGCCACAAGATTCAGTAAATTATAAATTAATTTATATTTTAGACATTGTCTAAATAATTTAGTTTAGACTATGGTTATCATAAAAAATAAAAACTTTAGTAATTAGAATAAATTACTTTGATTCTATTATATATCTTCATTAACATCCCAACTTGGTACAAAAACATTCATGAATTTCATATTAACTTTAGAAAAAGCATCTTAGCAACTAAATTGTAATTTAAATTGGTTCTTTTTTGATTTATGATATTACCAGCATCAGAAAAAAAGGCATTTACTTGTCCATTCTAGTGGACTTTCATTCTCTGATGCTAATGAAAGTTCCAAATAACTTTTTACTTCATCTAATAAATATGATCATTTTTTCTTTCATCCTTCAAGAGGCAATAATGTTTAGTTGTTGTTTTTCATTCTCATCATCAATGCAATCTAACTTTTTATAATGAGGATCCAAAAGAGTTGCTAATAATCCAAGGTCATTAGAACCATTATAATAATAGATTAATGAATTATATATATATATTTTTTGATTTTATTCAATAAATTGATTCTATGAAATTTCCTTTTTTGAACAATTGCTTAACTTCTTCATCGTCAACATCCAATATTGAAAAAAAATTTTTTTTTTTATACATTAACATTAATAGAAACCGGATTCAATCCTCTTTTTTTTTTTTTAGAACCGATTATCCATTTTCAAACCGGTTTACGGATTCAAACCGATTTGGGTCAAACCGAATCCAAACTCTTGTTCACTTTATCTAGAGTTCATTTCTACGTGTATTTTTGAGCCTTCGTTCGCTATAGAGAGAGGATGTTCGTTGTAATGAGAAATTAACAATAAAATGAAAAGGAGAATTATAGTGTGATTTTACTTAATTCTCGTTATAGAAAGGACCATTATAGAGTGTGTGAGTGAACCGTATAAATCAACGAGGATATGATGACACTATAAAAGTATCTCTACTTGAAAGAAATTTGATAGACGGGATACATTAGGATCGGTAACCTCAACACGTGAAAAAATGAAAGGACTAAAAGATGGTGTTTCAATGAGAATATCACTTAAATGTGAGTGTAAAGGAAGTAAATAATGTGTTGAAATTCTAAATCTAAACGTTGTAATTATGCTTGAACAACGAATGCTTCTTTCGGGTCATAGAAATTCATGTTCTTACAGAATTTAGCCGGTTATTATTATAAAATTTCTATTTTGAGATATCCAAGGTTTTTGATTAAATATATGGGAGGACCTAACTCGCGATTTTAAATCAATAACATTAATAATAATATATGTAATTCGTCATTATTATTATTAAATAAAGTTTCGATAATAATAAATAGTAAATTATAATTATAATTATAATTACTATTATTATACATTATAAAAATTGCCGATGCCCGTTTTTAAAAAAATAATTTCCCGTTTTCCACTAGGCAATAATTTTCCTATATTAAACGAAAAACATAAAGCTGAACCAAAAGGTTCAATCAAAGCAAGAAGCTAGCTTAAATACTGGTTATTCTACGACAGGCTGAAGGTGTTTCTTTTATTGGCACTTATCTCAAGACTAGCATACAACCAGAAGGTGGAATGAAGCAAATTCGATATAGATAGATGTGTTAAAGCATGCTTTATAAATTTGTTAAGAACTTTTTGAAGGATAGATCGGAAGATTAATCTTACAAGGTGTAGAGGTTGGAACCAGTCAAAAAACCCTAACCGATCAACTGTTTAACCGGTCCCAACCTTTAATTCCGTTTGGGTGAGAAGACACTTTTATTTGAACTTGGCATGTTCCTACACTTCCATCGTCACTAAATGAAGCTCCCACGTGGCCTACTTTTCTTATCATTTTTTTTTTTGGCTGGTGGTTGATGAATTATTCGGTGGTAATGGTGAAATAGATTGAAAAGGTTTCCGAATCGGTTGTTAGATATTCTTCATAACATGAGTTGGCTCGTCTTCTAATATTAAATCACTTAAAAAGTACTTTCCGCGAATGATTGGGCTGGTAGCTACCATCGCCGTAAATAATTACGGCCATCGTAAATAGATACGGCTGCCGCAAATAGCTACAAATAGTTTTCACGATCAATATGGTTATTGTCATTAGCATTATGAGTCTTGAGAAGTTTTTTTTGTGACCTGCGGCAACTAAATTTTTTGAATTGTCAGTCGTTCATTCACAGTGAAATATATGTAAAAATGAAATTTGAAATAGTCATAACTATTTACGGCAGCCGTATCTATTTGCCGTAAATATTTTATAATGATAATAATAACTATCAGGGGTAATCACACTATGGTAGTTACCATTGCTGCAAGTAATCAATTACGGCAGGTGTCTTTAAAACCACTCATATTTGAGAATTAAGGAATTAAAAATTATCTATCAAATATTGTAATTGTCACGAATGTTTGAAATATTCAAAATAAATACAACCAAAATTACGGATATCTGAATATCCGAAATAATCAGCAATTACGAAATATTCAATAAAAAAAAAAGTTCGATTTTCGGTTAGGAATACTACTACAGCGATGATATGTTGTAAAATTTATTTCAGCTAATTTCACTTTGACATAAAAATTGTATATAAATAAAAAGTACTAGATTAAGAAAGATTTATAGAATGTAAAATCAGTACACTCTAGAGCAGCTGGAAATTCTGCACCAGTAATGGCATTACCCGTATTTATTTCACTATTATACATTGATATATTATATCATGTTTCATTTTCATGTATTTCTACGTATGTATATTTCTATGTATTTTAATTATATATGAACAAAAACAATGAGCCATTAAGACTCACTGAAAATTTGGTGTATTGACAAAACCAGAAAACATAATGCCACAAATAAAATAATAACTTCTTTCATTACAATTTTATTGACAATCAGATGAATGTTGGAAATTAGATATAACTAGATAATTATGAAAAAATTGATCGAAAATATTCAAGAAGTCTATATATATATATATAATAAATAAATTTTATCAGATAGATTTATAATAAGACTAAAACGATATATATGTGTTATTAATTCTTACCTAGATGCATTTGTACCTCCTTTTAAAAATTATTATTTGATAATTTAATGTTAAAAAAAAGTAAATAAATAAATATGTTTTGATATCATATTAAATAAGTCATAATATTAAAAAATATACCTAGTGATTCTTCATTTTCTTCGTCTATTGGCCATGATGAATCTAAATCTTGAGGTGGTGGAAAAGAATTAGTAAATTCGAATTCCATCAACTCTCTAGATTTATCATAACCTATATATAACATTAATTTTATCAATAACACAATTTTAAAAAGATTTTCAATTTAAATAAATAAATAAAGCATACACTCTTCTTCTCCTTCAGCCATGTATTCCCCTTCCTCCTCGTTTATTTGATTATCTTCTTCTGCATACATCAATTCTCTAAGCCATTTTCCCCAAGATTTGATATAAATACCATCAAATTGGACTGTTATACCTTTTTCCCTGGCCAATTCATAATTTTTTCCGCCTTCCTTGAATTTCTTGAAAAATTTTGATTCACCAAGCATTCCTTCTGGAACTTTATCAGCTTTTTTATCATTCTTTACCACCATCCAACAATTAGTATCATCGATCCATTGGAAAAAAATATTACCAAATTCTGCAAAAATAATGTGTAAAATTATTTGGTTGCAACTTGCAGGAACATCTGAAAGTAAAAAACCATTTGTTTTAGGCAAAGGATCTAAATATATATTGGCAATATTAAAAAATTGTCTTTGTCCATTAATTCAAGTTATATCATGATAAAAAATGACTACTACAATAATAATTTAACATACACCCATTGTCTCCCACCAAATTTATATATTTAAAGTCAGACCTTAGTAAATGAAGTTTGTTATAATATATGTTAACTTTTTCGGTGGTTAATAGTGTCTTTATGAGATTAGGTCCTTCAACATAAATTTCTTCTTCTGTTACTGCCTCAGGATCATTACCACTATCTATTTCTTGAATTGTTTCATCCGAAGCATCAGACATATGCTCATTAAATATATGATTATATAAATCAACTTTTATTTCTATAACATTTAGAATATGATGTTAACATCAATAATTAATCAAATTAGGTCATTATTGTCTGTTAAATACAAAACCTTTTTCATGCAACACAAATGTTGCCAACCTAAGAAAATTATAACCGGTTATATATGCATCATAGCCAGCCTCATGATTTTGGGTTTCATCATTTAAAGTGTACCGAGTAAAATTTGGATGTAAAACTATTTATTAAGTATTAATATTAATAAATACTTGACATGTAAAGATTTTTGATAAAATCATGGATGATTTCACTTGCCAACTTTGGGAGCTATCTTCTCAAAATTTTCAGTTTGAACAATTTCCAAGATATCTTGAACCCCATTTCTTGGAATAAGTTCCTAATAAATAATAATAAATTGAGTATACGCATACATACATATCAAATTCACAATGAATCACAGAATCTTGTAAGAATTAAATAAATTAATTACTTGTAATTTATGATTACTTGCTGCTATGTGTTTGGTATCTATAACACTTAATAAAATTTAAAATTTTACATTAAATACTCTATGTTTTTAATGTGCACTTTAAAAAATTTTTTTTTGTAACCTTGATTAGTTTACTTACACCTCAAACATTTCGTGCACAAGACTTTTCCAATCCTTTAATTTTTCAGGCAATTCTTTCCAAAATTGATGCACTAGTTGACAAAGGTCTAATAAACAATTATGTCCAACTATTGGCTTTTTAGATTTAACCAACAACTCTATGATGGTTCGAAAATTTATGTTGGAAACCACAGCCTATAAAAGAATTAGATCCTTAGTATGGATAGATATAAATTGTCATTTAATTATAATTATAAATTTAAAAAAAAAATTTTTTGATTTTTTTACTTCTTCAGCATTTTTTTGTGATTTTTTCTCTCTCTGTTCTTTTGTAAACCGTATAAACAAGATACTCTTGGGTTTACTGTCTGCTGATGCATAACCAATAAATCTTGAATAAAATAAAATTTATGTACATATTTATATGAAAATTAATAAGATAACTTTTTAATATAATATGATTCTCTAAAAAAAAAAAAATATAAAAGCAAATAATAATAATACCTTGCACGAAATTCTTGAAAAAGCAAACGTTTCTCTTTGACCGTTGGAGTTTCTATCGTTAATTGTTGAGTTGTTGAATTGTGTAGCCAATCATCAATGATTGTACTTGTAATCAATTCCCAATCAAAAGTAAGCATAATTACTATGTAAATTTGATCCTAAAAAGGATTTCGATTAGATAAGAATATGCCAAAAGCACAGTCGACTCACATAGCATTCTCTACAGATGCTCTGATATCATCCTCCACCGGATTGTCTAACAAATCATTTATTTATTTATTCAGATTAAATATAGAATATAATTATTATGATATAATGATGTGTTATTTTCAATTTACCCATTTGTCTCTGTGAAATGTCAGATCTCCTTTGCAAAAGTTTTTCTTCATCCGTATAATTTAAGAAAGGTATTCCTTTAGATAAATAATTACAGGAAAAAAAACATACAATAATATATAAGATGAAGATAAAATGTTCCAAATTGATAAGACTATATGGTAGTTATTTTTGATAAATCACCATAAGAAATCAATTTATTAAAATCAAATCCACAGTTAGATAAAAAATGTAAACTTGATCCACTGCACATAAAACAAATGTCATGATAATCTTTCCTATCAGAATCTGCTGGAAAGATATAAAAGTTAAACGGTTTTGCTATAAAACAATCTTCAGTGTGAGAGTATGTATAAGTACATAAGCCAAATTGAATTATAAGAAACTATATTAAACAATTGATTAATAGTTATGAACTTGTTTATATATAAAGATCAAACAACAAACAAAAAAATACCTTGGTTGCTGCTATTCGAACTTTATTGTACCTTGAAACGGGATCATCAAAACTTTTAATCCGTTCTACACGTTCACTTAAGCCTAAACTCATTCATTTGAAAAAGTAAAATTGTGAAAACTGTTTTAAAATTATGTTTGAATAAATGAATCACTAACCAGTTAATTCAGTGTCTATGGCCACGAAATCACAATTTAAAATAGATTCTTCAATGCTTGGTAATAGTTCTTTGAAATTTGATTTGAGGATATCCATGCTTTGATAAAGATGGAACTTTTTCAAAAATGAAAATTTTATCAGATGATCAATGCAGGAATGTGCCAATTAGAGGAATTCATCTTTAAAATTCTGTCTTTGGGAAAGTTTGCAAATGACCATTTTTTATTAGAATAATTTTTAAAGAAAACGTCATTTTGAAACGCATTAGTAGCTTTTAAAGTTGGTATCTGTAATTGTTTTCGCGTTTTCTGCAACTACAGATTTTAAGGCTTGAGTTGCAACCTTTTCTGCAGCCTTCTTATTATCTTTTACTATTACTATCTATAAATCATCTTTTACTACTACTACTATTGCCATTATCTTTTACCATTAATTATCTTTAAATAAAACATTATCCATTAATTGTTTTTTAATTTATAATAAAAAAACATTTTATAAATCTGATTATTCATTGTACACATTAATATTAATACATGTAAAATTCATTCAGGAAAAAATATTATTGTCATCATTATTATTGATTTTACAGAATTTGTTTTATTGTGTTGGTTCCCAAAATTGACTAGCATCATGGAAAATTCTGGTAACACTTCCGTATAATGCTGGTCAATTTTGACCCAGCGTAAGTTTTAATTTCCTGATACACAGTAAATCTCAATTTAGCAGATACTAATTTAAAAATCTTGGTTTTATGGATAAAAGTTCAAGAACGGTTCCATAATAACCATAATAAACCTTTCTGTATATAATATTACCCTTTTAAAAATTTTTATTGTTATTTTCAAACAAATTACAAACTTGCTATTTTTTCTATTTTTTGAAATTTGGCCACATGGCACAGCAATAGGAGGTCTTTAAATTAATCCAACCATACAATAGTAGCATAGATAAAAAATACAATCATTGGCTATCGAGGTCTACCAATCAAAATAATTGAAATCATATGGCCTATTAAAAAATGATTTGGAATTTGTAATATTCTATGACTTTTCTTAGTTGATTGAAATTAAGATGTAGGTCATCAATAAATTTGGGTGTTATGATTAAAACAAATGAAGTCTAGAGCAAATTTGTTGTTAATAAAATCAAAATTCAATTCTGCTCAGAAAGGAACAAAAATAATAGAACACTGACTTTTTTGTCAATTTTGAGTTAATTCCATACTTAAATATAATCTACAACAATGAACATTTTTAACTTAGAAACAATATCCATTTAGCCTAATAAAATTTTAAGATATTTAAAGAAGCAAAGTAAATTTCAGAAGGTTGATCTTACCAAATTAAGTAAGAATAAGTCACAAAAATTCGGATAACCGGTTTTCTATGTCCTCTTTAACCCTTATTATTATATAGTTGACTTGGTCTAAAAACCTCCTAAATTTTGGGCAAATTTTAAAAATATAGAAGTCATTTTCTGTCCTATCTTTTAAAAAAATAGCTCTATTAGTTGATAGAATATGTATTTAGTTTTAATGTAATAAAGATATTTTCTCAAAAAAATTCTTTGTTGTAGAGTTCTATTCTTTTTTAAAACATGCACTTTACTATGCTCATGAGAGATTTGAGCGCTACGATCATTGCTAAATTTAGACTAGTTTTTGATCATCATTACTAAATTTAGACTAATACTCGATCATCATATCTAAATTTGGCAGTAAGGAAAATAATTTTTAACAAAAATCACATGAAACCTATTTTTTAAAAATTTTGAACAAATCATGAAATCGTGATTTTTGAAATTTGAGCGCGTGGCGCAGCAATAGGAGGTCTTTAGACCGATCCAACCATATTTTTATCTAGCCCCTTATTTTTATAAAATTTAGAAATGATCAATAAATTCCGAATTTTTGGGTCAAAATCCTTTTTTTGATTTTCTCAGAACAAAAATTTTGCCAATGTATCCCTTTCTACTTGTTGCACCCCATTTGTAAAGTTTGAGGTGGTGTTATACAATTAGTGGCACTTGACTTTTCTAAGCAGTACTTTTCCGATTTTACAATACTCTTCACATATAAATTATTGATCTTCTTTTGAAATATCTATTAATTGCCAATTCATCTATCAATTGGAGCAAATGATCTACATTTAATAGTAAATTGTGGGGTTAATAAAACATATAAAATTAGATAATTTCATAAATCTCAATTTCCTCACAATTAACTTATGATGTCTTCACAAAAACATAAACCTCGACTTATTGCTGTTGGTAACTTGTTCCAACACTTCATTATGACCTATTTGCTGTAAACTAGGCGGACTTTCAATAATTGAAAAATGCCCAAAGAAGAAAAATAAATATGAGCATTCAATTAGAACTCAATGAGACAAAATTTTTGATTATGGAAACTTTTTTATCTTTTTAAAAACTAGGTTTTATTTTATTCTTTCACATGATTTTTTTTAAGTTACATATTGTGTGTGTGCTAACTTTTCATGATGATTCTTACCCATTTAGAAGTTTTTATATGATGATTACCCCAAAATTTATGCTCCAATTCATAGACAGATCAGAATTAAATGCTGTAATGCTGATCTATCCATAAAAGAATTTTTAACTATGCTATAATAGTGATAAAAGAAATAAGTAACAAATTAATAATATAATATCAGTATCACTTAAAATAATCAAAATATAAATATAGAAACATGTAAATAAATATTTATATATATATATATAAAATTCTCATCTATTAGCATCAGGAAATTTTTTCTGACACAAGTTTACATCCGTAAGTTTTAATATGAAATGACGTAATATTTCGCATAAAAAGGACATAATATTTACACTGAATGTAATAATTACGTAATTTTTGTGCAATTTTTGCATAATATTACACTATTTACATAAGTTTATGGCGGGCCCCATAATATTATGTAAATTTATGGCAGGAAAAGTTTCCTGATGACTATTCTAAATGCAAATAATGTGAAAATAAAAATTTTAAATCTTTTTGATCTATTTTGCAATTCTTTTGCTTGATTATTTCAAGATTCTTTTCACTGTGTTTGAAGTCTTGTTGCAACCCTTTACATATTGCAAGATAATTGCTCTGATTTATCCTTATATTTTTTATCAGTATAAACCAATTGACATTTTTTAAAGAAATATATTCAAATGGTATTAATAATCATTGGAATGCTGGAATGGAAAATTCCAGTGTTCCAATGATTATTATGATTATTTAGTGTTCCAATCAGCATGTTCAAATTTGTATGAATTTATATTAATTTTGAGGTGGGTGTTTGGATACAAAATTTTGATTGGCTAATTTGAATTTCATGTGCATGAATTCACACAATTTCAGATTCATGCAGATTTTGGGTTCACACCAACAAGCATATTTGGATGGATTTTAGGGTTGTATCCTTTATTATTTGTCTAAAGAATAAAGAATATAACTTTATTTATATTAATGAATAAATGCAGGGGTATTCATGGACATGCAATTCAACCCCCAGTAATAAAGAATACAATCTTAGAATTCAGATGTATATGGTGGTTACAATGATTATTATGATTATTTCAGTGTTCCATGATACTCCTTGTTCAGAAGTAAAACAGGGAAAGTAATATCTAGTTTTGATTTCTTGCTAATTGCCACTGACTAGAATATTAAGTAAAAAAGCAATTGGCAAACAGAAGTCAACTGTTTTTAAAAAATCAGCAAGTGGTTCATTCCACTGAGTGCTCTATTGATGTTCCAGTATTCCATATTCCAGTTATTTGTCATTGAAATGGAAATTTAACATCACTTTTTGTGACATGTGCTGAAGGTTAACAAGGAAAAATCTACATTATGCATTCTATACTCATACAACACATAAGTGGGTGAGTGGACTTGGTAGCATTATATTTCAAAAAATAGAAGTAATGTTATAATCTATTAGACCTTATCGTTACAACTCAGTAATCTGTTAATCATAGGGTTAATTTTGCATTATGGGATTATAGTTAGCTTATAGGACTTGGTGTTATAATCCATTAATCCATTAACAAATAATGTTAATACAGTCTAAGCTCTCTATACCAAACCCTGTCCCTATATATAATGTTTCTGTTATAGGGAGAGTTTATTAAGATGTTTGTTATTAAAGATGGCTCCTCAATTAATTGTGGCATATGAAATTGAATTGCAGTTGTGGTTACAGCATATGAAAATTGAATTGCAGCTAATTGTGGTTCCCATCTTTATTTGTTATAGAGAGAGAAATTAATTATAAAAAATTGAACCAGAGACAAAAGGGAAATTTGTTTATAGAGAAATTTTACTTAGTGTTCATTATAGAGAGCTTAGACTGTATAATAATTATTAAAAAAAATTACGCAATTTTCAATCCTTTTAAGGAAAACATCAGATGTTAGTGTTCAAATCTATCAATTAATTTCCCTACATTACTTTGTTTAAAAATATTTCTTTTTTAAGTGTGAAATATGGTTAATTTGCCTTCGAATGAACAACAACAACCACTATTAAAAATCAAAAATTAAACAGACAAAAGCATAGTTGGACATGGACATACTTCAAAAGCAATGATCAAGGAGAAAACTTGTTCAATCTTAAATAAAACTGGTAAAGAACAAGCCAGATAAATCACAATTTGAAACAATTCATCCTTCAAATTAAATAAAATGTTTTTAATATATTAACCTATATTTACTGTTAACCCGGATGAAAAAATCCTCCTTCAAATGTCTTACGTGTAACGTCATTTTTTTCGGAACCCCGCATATAAAATAATTGCCCCCAAAAAACAAAAAAAAAGCACATACAAGATAAAGATTACCAAATTATTGTTGCTCATTTTTTTTTATTAAAAAAAAATTACATTTAAAATTCTTTCAAAATAAAAAATAAAATTTATTTAAAATTTTTTATAATTTAACTGTATAAAATAGAATTAATTATATAAATACTAATAAATAATACTCTAAATAGTTAATGGAAAACGTCTGGAAAACACGGTAATTTATTAGGACCATTCCTTTATTATAGATTTAAAATTACTTTTATTGAAAAAAGGTTGATCAACTATAAATAAATTTTCACAAATAAAACAATATTTTTTAGTAAAAATTTAACTGTTAACACAGATCATAGTCATTCCAATTCAGCAACTACAACTACAACTTCAACAACAACAACAACAACAACTACAACGCCTACAACAACAACAACTTCAACATCTACAAAACTAATTCAACTTCAACGTACTAACTCTCCGAATGGTATGACGAGTAGCATTGCCGCTTCTACTGTTATCATCAAACCAACTACACCACTTGTAATGGGCACAGGCGGTGTTAGTAGTGGCGGTGGGAGTGGGTATCTTTCTAAAAATCGTTCAAATGTTATAGGAATTGGAAACTTAGAGGATAAAGACAACAAAGAAAAAGAAAATGGAAATGGTGGTAATGGATTAATTGGTTTAACGCGTCAGCAGTATATACCTAGTCCTACCAATGAAATTCACCCGCTACACTTTACATGGGTTTTTTGGTTTATGCATCGAACACCGGGAAGTAAAATACTAAATTATGAAAGTTCTATGAAGAAAATAGCAGCTTTTTCTTCAGTATGTAATTTTCACAATTAATTATTATTCTTTCCAAAGAGCAAGCAAGCAATTAATTAATTGTTTAAAAAAACGAGTAAACACTCAATTGGATCTATGTGCGCCATATAATAAAAAAAAAACTTTTTTTTTGATCAAAAATATCAGATAGAGGATTTTTGGGCAGTTTATAGTCATCTTCGAAAGCCTCACGAGTTACCTAATATTAGTGACTACCATCTTTTCAAGCAAGGCGTTAGACCAGTTTGGGAGGTACAAATCTTATTTTATAGTTTTTATAAAAACTAATTAATTAATAATTTTAAAATTTAAATATTAATCATTATAAAATAATATTTTTAATATTAGGATGATACTAATATTAATGGTGGCAAATGGATTGTGAGGTTAAAGAAGGGTCTGGCTAGTCGTTATTGGGAGAGTTTGGTGAGTTTTTATTATAAATATTTTTTTTCAAATATATATATATATATATAAATATATAAATTAAGCAAATAAGTAAACAAATAAAATAAAAAATAAAAAACAAAAAATATATATATATAAAAATAATTATTTATCATTAAATATAGGAGAAAAAAATTTTAATTAAAAAAATATATATTTGAAACAAAAAAAATTAGGTAAACAACATTTTACTTAGTAACATCAAATATGTATTCTAACATATGCACACACACATATATATATGCAACTCTCTTTATCTGTTTAGGTGATGGCGGTTATTGGAGACCAATTTGATGTTGGCTCAGAAATATGTGGTGCTGTACTGTCTATACGTAGTTCTGAAGATATTTTGTCCTTGTGGAATCAATCAGCACACGAAGGCAGAATTAATTTAAAAATAAGGTCAGTTTAATTTTTTTATCAAAAAGTATATTAAATAAATTAGTAACAATAGTAATAATACTAATCATAATATTGATTATGCAGAGATACTATGAAACGGGTTTTAAATTTGCCTTCTGATACGATCATGGAATACAAAACACACAATGACGCTTTGAAAGATAATTCAAGTTTCAGAAACACTGACGTTTTTCGATAAAATCGATTAATTTTAAAATAAATTTAGATTAAGTCAACAGGAAACAAAATGTAATTGTTAAGTGTAGTTTGCGATAAAATATTATATTAATTTTACCTTAAAAAAAAAAAGTTATATTCAAAAAAGTGAAATTTTTATTTTATTATTTCCTTCGATTTTTATCGATAATATATAAAGGTTTCGATTTATTTTGTTTTGTTTTTTACCGACAAGGGAGGTTCTGATATTAGATGTGAAAATTGAAAATTTATGGGGATAGGTTTGGCTCGATTAATATACATGCAGATTTCATTAACATTACTTTTTGTTCCATCCTCCTTCTTTTTGATTTTTTCCTTAATTACTGCAAAAAGAGTATTTCTCTTTGTCTGTTATAAAACATTGCCATTGAGATATCTTGTATATTAAAATCTACACATACATATAATATTTTTTTGAATATAATCTTGGAAATGAAGAGGTAAGTATTAAAAAAAGGAATCTTGCTTGTTTTAATCTTTACACTTGAAAATAATAAAATTATTGTTTTGCGTACATATACTGCAGTTCTGTAAATTGAACATTATGAAATTTGTTTGCCTTATTTTCACCTAATTAGAACCTTTTCTTTACATGTAACTTGCATCTGATTAAGTTATTATCTCGCTGCTATTACCTTTTTATGCTCTTTTCAATTATGAAGTTCATCGCGTACAAATTTAGATGCGTAGATTTTGTTGATCTAAACACCTATTTTTTAAACAAATTTGTTTGCAAAGATATTCTTTTTAAAAAAAAGGTATAAGGAGTGAAAATTTTTCATTCGTATCCAAATGTGTTTTAATAAAATATATTATAGGATTGTAGATAAAATTTGAGAGTTCCATGAGTTTCCTTTTACAAATTCATTCACCAACCAATTTAGTATCTATATTAAATCTCTTTCATTATCAGCATTATCAGGAAGTTCACTTGGATTAAAAGTTCAAAACATAGTAATAGTTCAGAATCAAGGGTGTTGTTAATAACAGTATTTATCATTATTAATGAGTAATCTTTGACAAACGAGGATACTATATATAAGAATATTTTATCTTGATAAGTTTTGAATATTACGTCATAATTTGGTGGAACTTCTTTATTGCTCATAAATTCTACTGCTATATCTTTAATATGGGTTGATTTAAATTGTGATAATGGTATTGAAATATATTTGTTAAATCTTGATCTGATTGCTCAAGTAATCCTTTTGTATGTCTATCACCTTCTTCCATATCATCATTTAAAGTGCCAAAGCAACTAGATCCCGTAAATTATCTTCCTTCCAATTTTCTATTTCTTTCTAAATTCTTTATGGTTTTGTGATAAAGTTCTTTACTGGTTATGATTTTTCTTTCTTGGCAAATTTCATAAGTAATCCTTCCTTTTCTTAGATAAACTTCCAGTGTTTGAGTGTCATTTATTTCGAAAACATAAGGGGCAATTTTTCACCTTGTTCTTTCTTCAAAATACCTCTAATGATGCTGTAATTTTTGGGTTCCATGATAGACCTAATGAGGTAATTCTATATATCACTTAATATTAAGAAGATAACAAATGGGTGATTTTAATAATCACATTACTAATGAAATTTTTGGTAATACCAATGTCCACTTTGTCTGGTTTTGTTGCAGTATGTTCCATATAATGATGAGTTAACAAATACTACAATAACTCACCCTGACTCATCTCCAGAATGTGATAAATGTGATAAATTCTGAGCTTTTTTAAGAAAAAATGATTTTCTTAATCAAATGATTATAAAACCCAATTTTGAAGTATTTGAATTAAGTAATCAATTGAAGGATTTTACTAATCTAGCAAAAAAGCTCAAGAAAATTGTATTTTATAATAATTGACTGGTATATCTGGTATATTCAAACATACATATTTAATTGAAAACAATTATCCTATAATCAATCTATTTTATTTTTTGACACTAGGGAGCAAAGAGTTTCTAACTAAAATACTAAAATATGTTTAAATATATATATATATTAATCATTATTGTACATGGGACACAGTCCAAAAATGTCCATGCGGGCATGTCTGCTCATTTATATTTATATTACTTAAACATCTTGGATGTCCGGGACTAGTAGCACAAGTTAAAGCCTTTACCACTTTTATTAATTCAACATATTATTAATATTAAATTAAACCATCACAATTCAAAAACCTTTGTAAAGCATGTATTGAATAATTAGGAGAGGAAGAAGGGAAGAAAAAATGGCTTCCAAACAAAAAAGATTGAATAATTCAGCATCTGAAGAAATGTTCTATAATTAATTTTAAAATGTGGGCTGGAATTCAATTACAATTGTTTAAATGGTTTCACACAAATGTTAAATAAAGATTGAGAAAATAATGACAAGTGAAATTAATTAATTAATTAATTAATCAACCAGGTAATTAGATAATTCTATATTAATAATTCAGAGGAGTAGAGGCAGAAAGTTGATATAAAATTATTTTTCACGAATAACATTTTCATAATTTAATAAAACACTTTTGTGGTTGGAAGTTAAACAGTAAGGTTTAATTGTTTGTTTGGTTATCAGAGTGGTATAGAACTTTGAGGTTTTGTTATTTGTTTTGGTAAAGCAAAGATTTGAATTTTGAATTTTTTGCAATTGTTTTAAGTGTATTAAGACTTATTGGCAAAAATATCAAGTGTTGACAGTTATTGCTGATTGACCACTAATACAAAGAGCTAACAACTATTGACCAAAGTTGTTATCATATATTGATCATTGTGTTAAAGCAATTGTTGCAAACATATGACTGACTTCAATTAGCCAAGGAAAAGGAAAAGTAAGATAAATAAAAAGGAACTCTATAGGAGCATTTGTTGTTTTGTAGAAGACCATCTTTAGTTACTGTTAATTGTACCATAAAGTGTGTTTACAGATTTGCCAAAGCAATAAGTAGGATAATTTTGTAAAATAAATAAATTAATTGATGAGTGTACAGTCAGACTCCTATATATTCACACACTTCAGGACCATAGTGAAATTTCAAAAATTTTGGTGACTATAATGTTTGTGGCTATACAGGACATTTTTTACTATGATTAATTAGTAGCAGGGAATTTTTCAAATTAACAAAAAAAATGTGACTATATTATGTTGTGACTATATAGGATGTGACTATATAGGAGTCTGACTGTAGCTAAAAAGCTAATTTGAAATTCAGCCACAAACGTAAGTTTTGGTGGTGGTAAAAGATCTGGGGATGTTGCAAACCAACTTTTCCTCAAAAATTTCCTGAAAACGAATTTATTTCTTAATAAAATAGAAAAGCAAGAATTTGAAAGAGCAACTTGGCATTTGGACAAAGAAAATTTATCAGTTTACTGTATCCAATGTGAAAAAAAACATATAAATGAAAATTTTATATGTGATAAGTGTGAACAACTAAAATGTAATAAACATTTAAATGAATCAATCATTAAGGTGGTTTTGTAAAATTATTCATTTTGATTTATTTTATTTTATCAAATTAATTTTGAAGCTAAAAGGCCTAACTGATAAATAAAGGGATGGGCAGTAAATAAACTGCTAAATATATCATTACTATAAAAAACCATTATCTGAGTGGTAGAGCATGTATAATAATCAATGACAGTTATTATTTTGATTGTGTGGGTCAGATGAATAAAGTATTTTTGCTAGGTTTTATGATTGGGGATTGATTTTGAGTTGAAACTTAGAAATTATTATCAAAAATACATGTATTCAAGTTTCTTATATAATTGTAAATTAATTATATAGTAATCTGAAAATCTGACAGACTTATTGTCTGATTTTACCTGAAAACACACATTTGTCCAATTTCTGTAAATTTCTGTAAAATTGTAATTTCAGATTTAATCCAATTTTCAGATTTTATCTGTCTCATATTATGTCAAATAATCAGTTATTTAACAACTAATATAAACATTTAAAACAATTAACCTCATTATATGAAAATATAATCAATAATAATTAATAAAATGATAATAATTAATAAAATAATAATAAAAATTCAAATTGCCCTTTGCCACCTGGTAACATTAATAAATAGTAGAGTGCTTGAAAATTTTTGTATGTATTTTGATTCGCATCATTGTTATTAAATTTATTTGCACAATTATTAAAAAGCATTCGAGCATATATGTTTGACCATTTGATTTGAGTGTGAGATACAATAGAGTTTTCCCGGTCATATCCATGGATATTATTCGGCAGATATCTAAGTTATGAAATTTTTGCTCGTACAATCATCACTATTTATGATTAGATACAACTGCATTAATAAAATTTATTGGCATCTCAGAATCACGTGATTAAGTCATATCTCCCGTATACACTAAATATAATTTTTAATGTTTAATACACATAATATTTAATACATATAATATATAGTTAATACATGTACGCACAATAATATAATATAATATCTATAATATATATATGTAATATATACATATTGCTTTATGACCGATGGCAATAAAAAGTTGTTGAATTAGTAACTTTAAAATTAATAAATATAATAAATACGCAACAAAATTCAAACCAATCAATTATGAATAAAATTACCCTTTGAGATTTTATTTTTCACTTATTTCTTGTCAAAACACATTGCCACCTGTATAATCGAATTGGTCTGGATTATTATTGTTCTTGTTATTGTTGTTATTATCTTCAAATAAACTCGGAGCTCCATTAAAAAAAAATACAACATTTTGATCATTATTAGCAGCTACCCTTGTTGGATTATTCGCCGAATCTGTAGTAACAACAACAGGAATACTTGTATTGTTTAAAGGAGATGTCATTGTTCGATAATTTATTTAGTTTAAACGAATTTTAATAAATAAAATTGCAATTTTTACAAAAAAAAAATTTTTAGAATTTTATTTATTCTTTGTAGGAACATAACACACACACACACGCACACATATATACTCGTTAAACTGTAGCGTAGTCAATGTTTCACAAAGAAAAAAATCTTTGGCTTTAAAAAATAAATCATGTTTTTGAAAATTGTCACAGGGCATTTTCGCGCCACATTCTAAAGTCGCGCGCGTCTTTCTAAAATAAATTTAAGAGCTGTTACAATAATTTTTATAATACCATTTTAAACACAATATAAAAAATCATACATGAGGATTTTATTGGACAAATAATAAATGATAAACAAAATTCTTTATTTCTTTCACAATTGCTAAATGAACGTCCATTCAAATTGTATTTTATT